GATGTTAACTGATGGACTGGAGTGCTGTGGATTACTTGTGGATTATTGTGATGTTTTTATCAGCTGTTTGGACTCTCATTCTGACGGCACCCATTCACTGCAGAGCATCCATTGCTGAGACACTGATGCAATGCTACATTTCTACAAACCTGATGAAGAAACAAACTCATCTTGGTTGATCTGATGGTGAGGACATATTTAGTTTTGGGTGAACTGTTCCTTTAAGGTTTTAATGTAATATTGACACATGAATTGATGTATTTATCCTTGACAGGATTTTGAGGGAGCAGTGGATCAGAGCCAAGTATGAGAGACAGGAGTTTATACACGTCGAGAAACAAGAGCCTTATTCAGCAGGTGAGAGCCTCCTCAAGCTGTTGTTTTTGTGGCTTATGGCACCATGAGTATGAAGTCAGTCTCATTCTCTCATTTCAGCCACATCTCTAGGTGTTTATGTGTTCCTGACTATGCACATTTGAGGTCCATACTGCATCTAACTGGGAGAGTGAGTTTCATTACCACTCAGAATATCCAGTTTCATGGCTCACAGTCTTATTTATTGGGCAGCGAGATCTGATTGGCTGACAGTGATCTCATCTTTGATACACACTAGCACACATGCACGCACAAACATACATGCATTTGTGTTCTGTGTTGCATTGCGTGACTTTCATTGTGCTGCATGCATGAGATTTGCTGCTGTGTTTAGACATTCACATTGAAGTCGTTTGTGTGTGTAATGGTGTTTTTGTGGCGGGTGTACAGTTAATAGCATTAGTCATACAGAGTGTGATCTAAATGCTGAAGTATATTGTCTGGAGGCTACAGCGTGGGCATTGGTGATTTTGCAAGACTGAATTCAGTGCTGGCTTGAGACATTCTGTTTCCACCTTCTCACTCTTCCACTTCATTTCTTCTTCTACCCTCTCAGTATTTATTACAATTATTAAGAAGTATTAAAATAGTATGTTTACTATTTAACAGTTTGGGGCCAGTAAGATTTTTTTCATGCATTTAAAAGAAGTCTTATCTGCTCACCGAGGCTGCGTTTATTTGATCAAAATTGTGAAATATTATTTCAATTTAAAACAGCTGTTTTCTGTGTGAATATCTGTTAAACTGTAATTTATTTCGGTGATCACACACACACACACACACACACACACATATATATATATATATATATATATATATATATATATATGATGCAGTGAAACTAGTTTATTTTATATGCTACTAATTAAAATTATTATTATGTTATGTTATGTTATGTTATATTATGTATTTAGTGCATTTGAAGACAATGTGGGATTCTCTTTTTTTTAAATTCAAAATATACCAAATTATATATAAACTTGTCTTTCCTACGAATGTTTTTGCATAATCTCGACTGGTGTAACGGAGAACAGATCGACCCAGAAGACACACACGCAGACACACACACGCACCCCATGAGCCTGTGTGTATTCAGGTTTAAGTCCCCACCAGGATATAGAAACCAGTACACACACACACACTCTCTCTCTCTCTCTCTCTCACACACACACACACACACACACACACATTAATGCCGAGACGTTTCTTTGCGTGTGTCATTACTGTCCGACACACAGAGAAGAGAAGGTGCGACCACAGCTCAAGACTGATAGATAGACAGATGAATAAGTCCCTCATGAAGCTGTGTGTGTCGACACACTCGCGCACTATTACCTGTGCTGTGCTCAGTGGTGTTATTGATGGGTCATGTAGAGAGGTGCGCTTATCGATTGCTGAGGTAATGCTGAGTGAATGATTCATGAGCACTAGTGTACCAGAATAGTGCTAGAGAGAGAGAAAGCAGAGAGATAGATAGAGACCGGCTCCTCATTAGTGCACACTAAGGCTAGCATTACTATTACTGCTGCTTAGGGACTTTGAAACCCAACAGGAAGCATTAAACATCAGTCTCCTTCTAGAAAGCATTTGATTGGACAGAAATCTCTAGTTCAGGATGAGTCATTGGTCATTTTTAATGCAATTACAGGTTTTTAAAATTAATTTTATCAATGCTTTTAGGAGAGCATTATTATATGATGTTAATTTCTTGATCTTTTTCCGTTTTGACGTTGCTCGTGTATAGTAAGCTACAACTTCCCTTTTTACTAAAATATTTTAAGGATGTAGATATTCATAGACGGCTACAAAAGTCCGTGGGTGGAAAAACTCCTCCTCATGCTTTCTTTTTTGCTCTTCTCTCGTTCTTTTTTAGGGTACAGAGAGGGATTTCTTGATCTTTTTCCGTTTTGATGTTGCTCATGTATAGTAAGCTACAACTTCCCTTTTTACTAAAATATTTTAAGGATGTAGATATTCATAGATGGCTACAAAAGTCCGTGGGTGGAAAAACTCCTCCTCATGCTTTCTTTTTTGCTCTTCTCTCGTTCTTTTTTAGGGTACAGAGAGGGGTTTCTATGGAAACGTGGTCGAGACAACGGACAGTTCCTCAGTCGCAAGTTCATTCTGTCTGAAAGAGAAGGAGCACTGAAGTACTTCAACAAGCACGACGTTAGTCTCTACTTCCCTCTCACACACACACATGCTTAATTAACTAAATCAGGAATTTATGCTGGTTTTATATTGAATTTATAGATTGTACAGAATACAACAACCATACAAATACAAAGTTTTGCTACTTGACATAAAACATTAACATTAACTAAAAAAACAAATTATATATATATATATATATATAGTTTAAAAACATATACATTAAATGTATATATTGGAATATAAATTTATAAAAAGATTGTATATGGTATTAATTTATAAACATGATATATTATTATTATTTTATTTGAATAATTTGTCTTTGAGAATATCTCCTGATGAATATAAATATATGATTTTATAAACATAAAATATTAATGATTAATTTATATTAATTAATTCAGAAACATTTATGTATAATAAATAAATATAATGATCTGGCTAATGATGATTTAGCTAACATCAGAAAACAGTTCTGTCCCCAAAGTAAATGCGCACACTCACACACACACACGCACACACACACACACACACACTCTCTCTCTCTCTCTCTCTGGGCTTACCAAAACAGTCCCAGTCCACCGGCACCATAAAACTATAATGTGACTCTAGGGACTTTCTGGTAGGTTCTGAAAATGTTTTGCTGTCCAGAAAGTGTGCGTTTATAGCTGAGATATTTCTTTAATCTTCCAGGCGAGAGAACCAAAGGCCATAATGAGGATTGAAACCCTAAATGCTACTTTCCAGCCGGCTAAAATAGGAAACCCCTACGGCCTGCAGATCACCTATCTGAGAGACAACAGCACCAGGAATATCTTTGTGTACCACGAGGACAGTAAGGTATCAGGCCCATCAAATTCCTGTGCTGCTGCTCTTGAATGTTTTGGATTGTGCATTCACATTCATGCATCTGCCAGATGCTTTTCTCCAAAGTAACACAGTTTATCAGTAGACTACAGTACAGTCTCTCTCAAGGCCATATTTTGAAATTTCAAATGTTTTCTGTGCATAACCATCATTGCATTCAGACTCTTTTTATTCAGAGGATTCATATCAAACTGTTTGTCATTTCATTTTTCCCCCTGAGGTCCACTTATAATGTTTCTTGTTCCCAAACTAGTCATATTTTAGTATTTCATGACCATTTTCCACCCTATCAATAACCCGTATCATTTAATTGCCTGTTTTTGCTTCTCCCTTTAAGACTTCAAATTTAAAAAAAAGATTTTTACTGCACTATTTTAAAGATATTTTAACTGCGCTATTCTTCAAAATAGCCTCTTTGCAAAGTCTATAATTATATTGTGTCAGATTCTGTGCCACTATATATAATATATGATTAAGGTCATATATTTGACAAAGTTTAACCATATCTTACTTTTATTGTTAGCCGTTTACCAACTGGAATAACGGTGCCTCCTTCACAGGGTTAATACAGTTAACTAAAATTAAAACTGAATCTAACATTAAAACCATTAAAATTATATATATTATATATATATATAATCTGGAGTAGATGATGTTCTGCCGTGTTGGTCAATACAGCGCTTCAACCACAAACATCAGTGGTTTGAGCTCTAAAAACACTCTTCCTCTTTCACCACACATAGTGCTTTTTTAACACGGTGCGCTTTATCATGAAGACGAATATTTATTATTGCTTAGAACCTGAAACTAATCGCATCTTGAGATGTAAAGAGGAGGAGCAAGAAGTTGATCTACTGGAGGATCAACACTGCTTTGGCTCTCAGAAGAGATGGAGAGATATTTTCAGGCTGTAATATCATGTGTGGAGGTCAAACAGCAGTTATTGCATCATAAAGCATCCTCTGCGGGCTGCAGAGAAACACTGCAAAATCTGCCTTTAGTCCTCATTGTGTGTGTGTGTGTGTGTGTCTCTGTGTGTGTGTGTGTGTGTGTCTCTCTCTCTCTACCAGACTGTGTGTGTATGTATGTGTGTGTGTGTGTGTGTGTGTGTGCAGGAAATGGTGGACTGGTTCACTGCGATCCGGGCAGCCCGGTTTCATTACCAGAAGGTGGCATTTCCTGGAGCTAATGATGAGGACGTATGTGAATCACATTTCTTCCAGCAGCTGACACATAAAAATGAGTTATGAGCGCGAAGCTCACTGTAGTGACTGTGAACATGTGCACTAAATCATGTTTCTCATTCATACACTGCAAACAATCATTTTCTTGTTCAGCATTTTAATCTTGTAGAAACAAATTAAATTTACTTAAAAAGCTGAATTACATTAGATATTAAGATGTGTTTTCAGAGAATATATCTGAAAGCTTTATAATTGTTTTAAAGCATACATTTAACAAGGTTTATACGGGTAACTATAGTAAACTTTACTTGAAGCCTTTATGTATAATGCATTATGAAATTATTTGTAATGCACCTTATAATGCATTGTATGATCTCATGCACACGTTTATAATACATTGTAATACTTAACTATTCATAGTTACACCTTTAGAAAGTATCATGCATTAAAACACACGACAGATGCAATCTGCAAATATTAGAATGCATTTATTTTAACTTTGATTACAATGTTTTATGAAAAGATTTGTAGTTTATGAATACCTTTATGGTGCCTTAAAGGCTTTGAGTATTTAATTAAAACGATTTAACAAGTCTTATAGTACAGTTTTGCTTCTTAATTTGATCTTGTTTTAAATGTAGACATGGAAAACATTTGTTAATACTGATATAATGATTGATTATATTAATAATCATTTCTACCTTTTTAAATATCTGTGCATGTTTAAAGAGCATCCAAATAGTGATATGTTATTGATATGTTTCCTTATTGATATATTTTGTCTGTCTGTGATTGATTATGATGTAGCTGGTACCCAGACTGACAAGAAACTTCATGAAGGAGGGTTTCATGGAGAAAACAGGCCCAAGGGTGAGGGTCTTTTTCAGTAAACCTTCAGAAAAGAGATGAAGTCCACCCAATCATGCTTCATTCTGCTAGTTTCGTGCCACGTTTTCTTCTTGCACAATAAATCATTTGAAGTGAAATCAATGATTCATATGCTTTTATGAGTTTATTTGGTAAGTGTCTGTGTAATAAGGCAGATAATGTCCAGTCAGCTGGTCATTATCACAAAATAAAGTCCTCAGGGATGCTGACTGGACATTATCTCTTCCTAATGCCCTTCTTCACATTGATTCATGCTGGAGTCGTCTCTTTTTTAGCACACAGAGGGCTTTAAGAAAAGATGGTTTACCATGGATGATCGGAGACTAATGTACTTTAAAGATCCCTTGGTGAGTAAAAGTTGATATTTAGACTTTTTTTCTTCTTGTTACATTCCATTTCCAAATTGCCAATTGATATATGGTATTTTATTATATTATACAATGTCATTTATTTTTATTTTTATTATATTAGTAAATGTTAAATATTGTACTACATGTAACATATAGTATGATAAAATATCATTTTTATTATATTAATTATATTATATTATATTAGTATATTACTATATTAGTATATGTTAACTACAAAAATGTAATCATATATATATATATATATTTATAATTTTCAATATAATTTTTTTTTTGTAATTTTAAATGTAATATCCTATAATTTATTTACTTTTTTTATTATTATAATATGTTATATTATGTTGATAATATAATGTAATATGTAGTACTACATTTAACATAGTCTTATATATTATAATGAAAAATAATAAAATAAAAATGTATATTTATTTATTTTATTTTTTTATATTATATTATATTATATTCCCTCTTTTAGGATGCATATGCACGCGGCGAGGTGTTCATCGGCAGTAAGGAGAACAGGTATACTGTGGTATCCGGGCTGCCGCCCTCGATCCAGGGATATCACTGGAAGTACGGGATCACCATTGAAACCCCAGACAGGAAGTTCCTGTTTGCTTGTGAAACCGAGGCGGAGCAGAAGGACTGGATCGCAGCCTTTCAGAGAGTCGTCAACCGTCCCATGATGCCGCAGGAGTACGCAGGTACACAAACACACTGAAACAATACAAAGACACTCATCGGAATCGACTGACTGCGTTTCGTTTCTCTTTGCAGTTGAGGCTCATTTCAAGCACAAGCCTTGATGCTGGCTGTAAACCTGCCTGTATGTGCTGTATGCTGCAGGCGGCACAGACTGGACAATGAACAGCTGTTCTGTCTCATGAAGCGCTCCGGACCGAGCGAGTACCTTCCTACCTTGATTTACAAACCACTGGACTGTGCTGAAGACGTCTTCATCGTGAGGCTTACTTATAACCAAAGCAGACGTCCCGGGTTCAGCCGTCAGCCGAGCTACTGTACAAATATGGCATGTGAATGTTGTCCATCGCTCTTAAACATAACATTTAATCTGTAAATCACAAGTACTAAACACCACGGTGCGTTCTGACTGATGTTATTTATTGGATTTTCCATGCAAATGCTGCTGTGAAGCTTAGATGATCCTCAGACACTACACAACACCACACCACTCCGAGTGTCTTTGCTGATCATCTAGGGCTTTCGTTCACCATTACTGATCATTTAAATGTGTGAAAACCATGTTAGGACACCTATGTGATTAGTATAGGTTTCATATACTACTTACTACTTCTGGTGTCTGTGCAGGGTGCGTACTGTATGTGACCCTGGAGCACAAAAGCAGTGTTAAGTCGCTGGGGTATATTTGTAGCAATAGCCAACAATACATTGTATGGGTCAAAATTATTGATTTATCTTTTATGCCAAAAATCATTAGGATATTAACTAAAGATAATGTTGCATGAAGATATTTTGTAAATTTCCTACTGTAAATATATTAAAACTGAATTTTTGATTAGTAATATGCATTGCTAAGAACTTTTTTTTTTGACAACTTTAAAGGCGTTTTTCTTAATATTTTGATTTTTTTTGCACCCTCAGATTCCAGATTTTCAAATAGTTGTATCTCGGCCAAATATTGTCCGATCCTAACAAACCAAACATCAATGGAAAGATTATTTATTCAGCTTCAGATGATGCATACATCTCAATTTCGAGAAATTGACCCTTATGACAGGTTTTGTGCTCCAGTGTCAGGTATGTCTGATTTCTACACATCATATAAAGACGGTTCAGTTCTTGATTTTTCCTCCTCCACTAGGTGGAAGCATATCACCGATTAAGATGCATGTGCTCATTACTGTTTCTTTTTATGCAGAATAGGGTTGATATTAGCCATAGACTGATATATCGGCCGATATTTGGCCATTTTGAGATTATCTGCTGAAAACCAAGTTCACTTGAATGAATAAGACTAGTGATAGTTCCCCTTATCTTAGTCAATAGGGACACTATATTTACGCCTAAATTTAAGATTTATATTTTTGAATTGCATATAATATTTGTTTTAGCATAAACAAACTAATAAACTTAAGGTGATGCATATTTGTCAGTCATACATAAATGAAATTCTGTAATAGTACTAATAAATTGAATGTGTTTATAACCAGGTTTATATATTTATTAATAAATCCAATTTGTTTAAATAGCTTAATTGCATAAATGTGATTGATTTCACAAATTTATGCAGATTCGAAGCAATTTAAAAAAATGTTGTTTAAATAAAATCAAAAAGATGCAAATAGTTAATAATAAACTATGTTTTTTTTTGCATTCAGAAATATGCATCACATTAAGTTTATTAGTTTATGTTAAATCCAAATTTTATTTGCATATCAAATACATAAATATTAAAAAATGTTATGCAAACTATGCATCCATTTAATTTAAGCAATCTCATTTGCTGTTATTAAATTGCATTGTGTATATATCATTCTTGATTTCAGCCAGACCACATCTGTTGACTTGCATTAGAATATTCTACAGATTTTAATAATGGATATGAATGTTTAGATGGGAGGTTGTAATAATAATCTGATCCATATCACAGCTCCTCTAATGTAACTCTGGCCCTCTTGTTCGGGTTATGATGCTATTCAGATGTTTTTCTTCTGATTTGTTTCAAATAAGAGTTAGTGAATGCTAACCAACAAAAACGTATAGCTTTGTTTTTGGGGACTTGTACCGTGGTAAGGATAATGTACAGTCACTCTCGTTCTGTGGCTGCTCATTATTTCAGAATAAACTAAATAAGAGTGGTTTATTTTGTGATAATGACTGTCTGACTGTGCAAATAGTTAATAATAAACTGTTTTTTTTTGCATTCAGAAATATGCATCACATTAAGTTTATTAGTTTATGTTAAATCCAAATTTTATTTGCATATCAAATACATAAATATTAAAAAATGTTATGCAAACTATGCATCCATTTAATTTAAGCAATCTCATTTGCTGTTATTAAATTGCATTGTGTATATATCATTCTTGATTTCAGCCAGACCACATCTGTTGACTTGCATTAGAATATTCTACAGATTTTAATAATGGATATGAATGTTTAGATGGGAGGTTGTAATAATAATCTGATCCATATCACAGCTCCTCTAATGTAACTCTGGCCCTCTTGTTCGGGTTATGATGCTATTCAGATGTTTTTCTTCTGATTTGTTTCAAATAAGAGTTAGTGAATGCTAACCAACAAAAACGTATAGCTTTGTTTTTGGGGACTTGTACCGTGGTAAGGATAATGTACAGTCACTCTCGTTCTGTGGCTGCTCATTATTTCAGAATAAACTAAATAAGAGTGGTTTATTTTGTGATAATGACTGTCTGACTGTACATTATCCAGCTTATTATACAGCTACTTAACACATAAATAAATATGTGCACATGAAATATTGATTTTGAGTTGAAATTATTTTCTTTTGTTAGAAGAAAGAGGCGCAGAAAGAATCGGGTATTTCAAGCAGTCGTGTAATAAAAAAGTTTAAATCATTCAGTACTATGATAAATATCAAAGTACGTCTGCTAGTATCACTGACACCATGGTACGTTTTGTAAGAGTTAGTGTTAGCTTCTTCTGGTCAGAAAATAGCTAAAACAGAGAAAAAGATATGTTTTAGGACCAAGAAGATCATCTTACATGAACTCATGAGCTTAAAGCATATGAATTTTTAGTATATGCATTTTTTTTTTCATGGCAGCAGGGTTATTACAGTAAGCTAAAATTACAATAAAAAAATAACATTTGTTAGTTGAAGCTAAAGCAACTGAAATTAAATACAAGAAACTTATTTATTTATATTTAGATTAAGAATAATTTATTATTATTTAATTTATTTTAATCTTTTATTATTATCATTTATATTATTATATATAATTAATAAGAATATAGTATTATATATTTTATATAATAATAAATTATTATTATTTAACTTGTTTTATTTTAGCTTGTTACAAAGGTATGTAAATTTAATAAAAACAATATGGACATATAAAGAACTATATTACAAAAACTATAACTACTAAAAAATGACTTGAACACAAAAAATGACTAAAACTTTAAAATTAAAAATGAAACAGAAAATACATAAATAAAAATTAAGTTAAAATTAAAAAAAAACTACAGCAGTATCTCAATATAATATATGAATATATAATACAAATTAAATGCATAGAAAACGTATACTTTAAAAGATATTGTACTATTTTCATCTTAAGAGAGAGAGAGTGTGTGTGTGTGTGTGTGTGTGGGTGTG